ACACTATTTTTAAAAATTGTATTCAGGGAGCAAAAAACAAGTCAATTCAGGACAGAAGCTGTTTGATAGCCTTGACTTTTTCTGAAGATAAGAACATTTGGTAATAATCCTGTCAACATTAAATGTGCTCTGTGTTGAGGAGTTTTTTGGTGTTTTTTTTTTTTTTTTTTGAGTTGGAGTCTCACCCTGTCGCCCAGACTGGAGTGCAGTGGCCGCTCCCGGCCACCGCAGCCTCGACCTGCTGGGCTCCGGTGATCCTTCTGCCTCAGCCTTCCAGGTAGCTGGAACTACAGGCGCGCGGAGGAGTCTTGATTTAACATCACAGGACAACTCAGTCAATTTCAGAGTTAAATAGTTTTCATCCTGATGGGCAGTAACACTATCCTGTTAACTCAGTCAGAGGGTGTTCTAGAGCAGCAATGAATTAGCTAGAGCTCATGAAGAGACATGACTGGTGTGAAAAAGAACTAAAGCGAAGGTCTGATTATATTCCTGCTATTTTCTCTCTTTCCATTTGAGGATTTGTTTTCCCTACCTGTGGACACAGGGATCCTGAGAAGCTAGTCTGAAGCCTTTCCTTGTTGAATGTATATGAACGTGTGAAATACTCTCTCTCTTTTTTTAAATGTCTTATACAATTTGACATGGAGTGTTTAATATCAAGTCATAATTTTGAAGAGGTTTTTACTTTTGGTTTGCTTGTTCTTTCCAGTGTATTCACTGAATCTCATCAAGTAAAGACCCCCTGAGGAGAGTGTGTCTTTAAATTCTTATAATAGTTTCTATTTTGTGCAGAACAGCAGGAGGGAATGATGGGCCTTTTCAGTCATAAGGCTAAAATTCCCCACCAATGTCCTGGTGGACCTTCACTTCTCCCCAAGAAAATTACAAAAGAGATATGACAGCTGTTTTCTTCCAGGTACAGGCAAGTATAGCTGGAAGTTGTTGTGACCTCTAGCATTCAGCTCCTTGACTCTGCAATTCCATCTAATTTTTTCTAAACTATCAGCACTTTTAGTTGGCAGAGTTGCCCTTCCTATCTCTGATGTATGTGCACTCACATTGGCACCACCGTAATCAGGAGATTTAAACCCAAGGATGACTCATTGTTGATGACCGGTTTTATGCAGTACTTCCTTCTTTCCAGCCTCTGAAGTACAAGAATGAGCTGAACAAACAAACCACTATAAAGGAGCCTTGGGTTTCCCCAGGCCCAGGTTTCTTCACTGAACTAAATCTCTCCCCTCTTCCTTTTGATGTGGACGTTTGAATTTGACCTCTACCCTCTAGCAGCAAATAGCAACTTTGTATTTAAAGAAACTCACAGGTAGGGCATTTTCGATAGAGGGAATTTGTCTTCAAAATTTCCTTGAATGTTGTTTATTTGAATGACCCGAGGAAACCTTCCAAAACTCCAGTGGTATTTAATATTAAAGCTGAGTGCTTTATAGAATGTTGTTTGCCAGAACTGATTGTTTTATATATTTTCATGAAAGAATATTTATGTCAGACAAATACAGTAAAAATATATTTATAGTTCTGGGATATTGAGTCAGTCAGCCTGAGGGACAGGAAAACAGGTGATGTTTTCAGGTATTAATTCTACCTTTCTTTTGGAGGACAAATATGTTAAAGTGAAAGTAAACATTAAATCTGTCATTAATTTTTAGGTTAAAAGCATGTTTTTTTCCAAATTAGCTATATTTTGATAAAGCTAAGTTATGGGCTAATAAGTTGGCTATAAAACTGAAGTTTGAGATTTTAGGAGCTATTACAAAACCCACAGCAGGATAATTAAAGATTGGAATATTTTTAACATTCGTGTTTTTTATCAGAACTATTATCTGTGATGTGATGGTGAAGATTCTGGAATGTCTATGAAAAATTATACATTGTGTTATTCTATTGAATCTTTGGAAGATGCCCTTTTCAATCAGGAAATAATCGGAACCTTTCCCCAGTGTGCCATTACAGGAAATTGCCTCTTTTCATTGACTTGTATCCTTAAGGTATTAAAGCTTGATTCCCAAAATGGTCTTTCAAAAGAATTCTTGGAAGTACTTGCAGGATCAGCATTAACTACATGATTTAAAGTAAAAGTATGTTACTTCTCTGAATTTTTCACACATTATGTGACAAATGATTTTGGGGAAACTGTGATACCTGAACTTCTTTTACATGCAGGGGATCAATATGTCTTACAGTTTTTTTTGTTCTGTAAATGGAGAAGGATACAGTGGAGAAAAGCACTACATTTTAATTTGGCAGCAGCTAAGACGGTCCAGGTGTTGGGATTTAACTGTAGCTTATGCTGACTGACTGTCATTTGTCTGTTCAGTTTGATCTAGCTTAGGGTAAAAAGCTTAATAATGCTTGCCATTACTCATCTTTTCTAAAGCAAGTTCTCTCTCTCTCTCTCCCCCTCTCCTTCCTCCCCCTTCACTTCTCCCTTTTTCACTCTCTTTCAACATCTACTTTGTTAGAAAGAAAGATGATAAACAACCCAAGAAAAACCTAAACCTTTGCTTTTGATATACTGGCTTCATAAACATTCCTTCATTTTGTTTTTAGGTGCCCATCTTGAAGTGACAGGTTAGTGATCTGCTTAGGTTTTCCCTAAGAACATAAATGAAATCAAAGAAAAGTAAGCAGGATACATTTTCTGACTTTGGTGAAAAGAATATGACTCATCTTGTTAAAGGCATATAGGGATCTTAATTTCGGAGAGTAACATATGTTAGTCCCAACTGTTTCTACTTCGATTGTGGTGGTGACAAGCTCTGGTGAAAATGTTGTAAAAGCATACTTGTCTTCATTTTTATTCACTTTATGAAACAGAATGGTCCTAGAAATAGACACTGGGTGGACAATAACATTATGCCATTCCTTAAAATTACTATAACCACGAATGTGTTGGCAGGAATTTACCTTGAACCTAGAAAGTCTTTGGAAGTGGGCCAGCTTCATCTTGCCTAACTCTAAAAATTTAAAAATAAAGGTTACTTTCATGAAATGTGATTCTGTACATATCAAATCCTCTTATGATTTATTAATATTTTGTATTTATTTTATTTATTATGTTTATGGTTTTCTTAATTAAAATAAGACTTAAAGAGTTAAGGACTTTGCATTTGAACAAAAAGTGGTTCCTAAGCTCTCGAAGTATAAAATTGTTAGATTCCCTTGCACTTTCAATCTGCAACAAAGGTACTCATTTTTAATGCACATGTTTTCTGGTGAGTGAGAGAATACTGAGCAAGAAATGGGGCCAGCAGCAAGGAAGAATGTAGTCCAAGAATCAAGACAAATAAGAATCGACTTCCCAGTGCTCTTGATACCAGTGATTTTCCACTCCTGTTAGGATTTTGATTTCTTTCCAGAAGTATCACAGCAGTGGCCACCTGCCAGGGGAGAACAATATCCTTTAAATATTTTGGAAATATTTAAATATTTTAGAAATAAAATTTTAATACATTTGTACTTATGGTTATGGATATGCTGTAAGTTATATATCTATTCCTCAATATTAAATGTTTACAGTGTTGATCACCACATTTTTAAGGTAAAAAGTTGCTATTAGTGATTTTTTTTATACCTACCAATAATGAGAAAACCTGGCTGTCTTGTGAGAATTTGAGAATTTCACTATCCCATGAGCATCCTACCCTTTTAGCTAACATAAAGAAGATGCAATTAAAACTATAGCATAAAGAGTACCTGGTATTAAACCAGGGGCATGAGGACCAGTTGGAGGCCCAAACGTCACCTGCACATAGATTACTTATGTACCTAATCTTGACTTGTACCCCACATCTCCACAATAAAATTAAGTGTTTTTTTTAAAAAAAGAAGTTAAGAGTCAAGCCTGTTGAGAAAACCATCAGTCTTGGACCTATTATTTGTGCTTCTCTCCAGGAGATTCTTCCTGCCTGTGCCCTGCTGTTAATTCTTTGTTATCTGTTCACTGAGACTAGCTTAGTGATCTCTACTCCTCTGTTGTCCTCTCAGGGTTGACATTCTGTCTGGAGGTGTGACATCCTTGTCACAGGCCCCTGAGGTAGCTCTTCAGTTGGCCCCATCCCTGCCAGCAGGTTTATTGTGACATCATGACCTTGTCTAAGCACTCCAATAGTGCCCTGGCCTTTCCTCCACACCCTATGAAAGACCTTGCTGGTCTTTCAGCTAAGACAACCCTTGCAACTTGGAATTAGTACACCTTGATCACAAAGGAGGAGGACTGTAATCTTGGGGGTGTCACACCTCTTTTTCCAATGGTCTATAATTCGAAAGGAACACTTGGGTTTTTGTTTTTGTTTTCAAAATGATGGTGACCCATGCCTTTCCTAGTGGTATAGCAAACCTCTAAAATGGGATAGTTATTCCTGACCTTCAGCACTTCCTTCGTATGTCTCTGCTGTCCAGGTTCAGATGTCTGTGCTCTTCTTGCAATCCTTTCTGTTTATACACTTGGGACAGTCAAGTTGCACGTATGCTGAGATAATTCATTGCTTTCATTCCTGGCACACTGCAAGTGATTGGCCTGGAGGTCTCCTGGTCTCATCTTAAGAAAAGATCACACAGTGTTATTATTTAGAGAAAAATCCTTATTTCCTCTCCATACATTTATGCTAATTTGCTCACTTATTTGTTCCTATTGTAATTATAGGTATATAACTGATTTGATGTTTTTTAAGAAGTTTCTGAAAACTTAGCAAGTTGTTTTTTTGCCATTTATTTATGATGGAAGTGTGTTTTATTCAAATACCACGCTCTAGTTCCTTAAGTATGCAAACTAGATTTTTAAAACTCCAATTTAAATACATATTGCTTGCATTTGTTGACCACACACTTTCTGTAATACTTATTGAAGACACTGAGTAGTACAGTTTTTTTTTTTTTTTAATCTTGAGAAACTTTTGCATTTGGTGCAAAACATTTTCTAATCTGGCTGAGACAGCAAGTAGTAACTCTTTGGGATTCTCTTTTCTTCTTGTTTTCAGGGTGCTGGTTGCACAGCCCTGGTGGTAGCTGTAGTGGCAAGGAAGCTAGAACTTACCAAAGCAGAAAAACACGTGCACAATTTCATGATGGATACTCAGCTGACTAAAAGAGTAAGTTACCATCCGTATAACTTCAAAGAGAACATTATTATGTTTTTTATCTTGAGATTTGAATCTTAAATGACATGGTTTGAAAGTTGAGGCATTTCTTGGAATCAATACCATTTTATCATATTTTGAGAATTGACTATTTCTAACTTTAGGTCAGTGAGGAAGTAATTGGATAATCTTGGTATATGGTTAAAAATAGCTCAAATAAATCTAAATACATAGGCATACTTAACATTTAAGTGTAATATGCAAGTAGAGACCAATATTGGATTGAGTAGTAGGAATTGCCAGTGCAAAATAGGAACTTGATGGGTAGGCAATTGAACAAATATTTTACTGAACTTCCATGAGCAAGTCACTGGGGATCGCTTGAACCCAAGTCTGCAGTGAGCTATGATCACCCCGGTGCACTCCAGCCTTGGCACCAGAGTGGAACTCTCTCTCCAAAATAGTAATTCACTCAATCAGTGTGAAACCACCACTAACTTTTAGAAACCCAAGATAGAAGCAGAGCCCGGCCCTTTCCATGACTTAAAGGCCGGCCAACAGAGAGAAGTTGAAAATAGTATAGCGTCCAGATGGGAGATCACTATCCAATTATTACGAGTAGAGGAAAGCAATAGTCACAGTGTTGAAGAGTACTCACTCTGTGCCAGGCACAGCTCCAAGTGTATCACATGTGTAATCCCATTTCATCCTCACAACAACTTTATGAGGGAAGTACTATTATTATGGTCGTTTTATAAACATGGAAACCAAGACACAGAGAGATTAGGTAACCTGCTCAGAATTAACTTATCAAAATGGAAAGTCATGCAAGGTGGAAAAGATTGTTATTAGATTAAATTTTTAGACTTTCTTTATCATCGCTTGAGACAAATACCAAAGTCAAAAATAACTAAAAATTATTTTTTAGAGGAGTCATCTTGCTATATAAACACTGCCCAAAGAGAAATCCAATCTGGTCATTACTGGAATAACAAAATACATTATCATTTGGTAACTTTACCCAGAAATGAATCAATAGAAACTTCAAGCACAGTTCCAACTTTGTGTTTTCACTCACTCCTGATTTTGATTGTATGTATAAAAGTAATCTTGTTTAATTTGATAAATACTTTCTAATAAATAAGCCATTTTAATGCAAATATATTTATACAGATTATAATTATGAACTGTAAACATAAATTCCAATTGCCTTGCTCATGCTTTCTAAGTCTTCCCTAGCAGACACTGTTGTGGGACTTCAATGTAGTTAGTGGGTCTACTTATAGTGCAGTATCAAAACTTCTCAGTTTCAGATGCCACATTTTTATGGCCTGGATTTACCATTTTGGAATGTCTTCTACTCTCCATGATTTCTTCTCATTTCTTCCAGCCTCTGAATTTATTCTCAAAACTCATGAACATTCTTATATGGGAGAGTGGAGGGGAGAAAGGTCAACAGGAAACTGAATGGAGGCTTGAATTAGCCTACTAGGAAATGAAGATATATATACATATGAGATTAGTCCACAGCTAATCAACAAATCATAGCAGATGTGTTGTGTATTTCATCATGTGCTTGTTTGGGCCTTTTAGCATTCTATACTGCACAGCTTGTGTTTAAGAGTCACAAGTTTTATAATATCAAAAGAATACTTCCATTAAGTGCCTTGTAATCCATGTTATTTTATTGTGAAGATTATACATTTTATCAGGAATTAAGTTAATACCACACTTAAGATATTAGGCAGAAAAATACTTTAAAATATCATGTAGCCCATATGTTTGCATGTAAGTCTTCTCAACAGTTAAAAAAATTGTGATAGATTCACAAATAAGGAAGCCAAGTTAGCATGTTTGGTCAGACTTCCCCATGTTTCATAAGCAGGTTTTTAGTTTTATCTTAAGAAGGAAGCACACAATTTCTTTAAATGTTATTTTGTAATATTGATATTCCATATCTTAATTATTAAAACATTTTGAGTTTTAGAAAAGACAAGGTCTTTGAGGAAAAAAAAAATCTACAGTACCACACTGTATCTACCACTTTTTTTTTTTTTTTTGAGTTGGAGTCTCACTCTGTTGCCCAGACTGGAGTGCAGTGGCCACTGCTCCTGCTTCCGGTCACTGCAGCCTCGACCTGCTGGGCTCTGGTGATCCTTCTGCCTCAGCCTTCAAAGTAGCTGGAACTACAGGCACGTGTTACCACGCCCGGCTAATTTTTTGATTTATTGTAGAGATGAGGTCTTGCCAAGTTGCCCAGGTGGGTCTCGAACCCGCGGGCTCAGGCAATCCACTCACCTCGGCCTCCCAAAGCGTGGGATTACAGGCTGAGCCACCGAGCCTGGTCAAGTACCACCTTTGATGAGATTTTTTTTGGTGAGATTCACAGAGGTTAACTGGGAGACATTCCAGGTTGGTTTTATAGTATAGTTATTTTAATTCAGAGTCTCTCAACCTTGGCACTAGTGATTTTCAACTGGATAATTGTTTATGGGGTGGGACTGTCCTGTGCATTTTGGATGTTTATCAGCATACTTGACCTCTACTTACTAGATGCTAGTAGCATTGCCCTCCACTTGTGACAACCACAAATTCCTCTAGAGATTGCCAAATGTTTTCTAAAGAGACAGAAGAACCACTACTTTAGCTTGTCATTCCACAAGGATTTGACATCCTTGAAGAGACTGGCACAGAGTCTCTTAGCAGATATTTTTTGAGTCTCCAGAATTTATTGTAATTTCTCTCTTCCTTGGAATAGCATATACCCACTTAACAAAAATACACTAGTATTGTTGGGGTCTGTGTTAACTGCTGAGGACACAGAGCTAAAATATCATATTCTAGCTCTCAAAGAATTTTAAGATTTTACAGTACTGACTACTCAGAAAAATCTGATGTTTCCTGCTTGGAAGAAAAATGCTCTTATGCTCTGGCTCATGTTGTTCATGGGTCCTCTAAAGCCCAGTCTGAGTTCCTTTAGAGGACTGTGGATCCAGGATCTAGATTAGTGGATCTAGATGACCTCCCTTTAGTGTTTATGAGTGGCACTCATTTCCCCAACCTGACAAAGTTTTCTGATGATACTACAACTTTTTGGTATACTTTCTTGCATACTTTAGAGGCATTTCCTATAGATAATGCTGCATGAAGAGTCTGATTGCCTATAGAAAAAGCTTTATTTCTGTAGGCAATTGGACCATAGAAAGAAAGCTTTTTTCTACAGATAATTAGACTCTTCATAGAATCTTCAAGTACTGTTGTAGTTTCAAAATTTGCTTTCTGTACAATGCTTACCATGCTTTAATAATTCTGTTACTACTACTTTCTAAAAGTGGAGTTACTTTGCAGTATTTTGGGGGGCCAATGTCTCTTAAGTCTGAGGAAGATACTGCAGAAGGCTTGCCAGTAGATTACAGGTGAGATGTTGGTAATTAAAGATATAAATGTTAACATAGCATTAGAATAAAATGCAAAATTTCTGGTTTATGATACCCATTCCATTATTATAATTAATATTTTAAAATAATACTTTTATAATTTCTCTTCTTTATTTTACATGAAATCATCAACTTAATTAGTACCATGTACTTAGAATGACATTCCATTGAATTATGAATGGAAATTTGACCTCTTTATAATTTTAACTTTGTAAGTAGAAATTCTAAAATACTGAATGTGATTTATGAATACTAAGAGTTATCAAGGACCTAAGACCATACATACAAACTTAAAGATAAAAGCATACAAATTCAAGGGTACCATATATTGTTAGAGAAAAATACAACTATTCCTGAAACAGGACACAGAAGAAATCATTTCTTCTGATGATTAACAAGGGTGATGGCCACAGACATTCTGAAATTTAAATGTGACTCTAAAGAAAAATCAGTATGAATGTTAAAAGATAGTTTATTCTCCCAGGAACAAATATAACTTTCCAAGTCTTCCAATGTATATCTTTACTGAATTGAAAAATTTCTGTGAAAAATTATTCACCACATAAAAATTTTCAGGGAACAATTTAATACAGAAGTCATTCTCTTTGACTACATTAATCAAGAGAAATACTACAGTATTCACTGAATACTACAGTATTTGTTGTGCACCAGCATTGAGGCAGATTGGCATAATTCTAAAAACTTACAAGATACTCTACAGTTCAAACATGGCCAACAGGTAGAGGTATCCAGAATAATCTAATGATTTCAAAATGAAAGCATAATAACAAAAACTTGTCACCTTGCTTAGTAAGACAGAACCAGCTATTTAATAGATTTGCAGTTCATCACTTTTCAGAGGCAATGTGTTTTATCATGCCATATCTTTTGGAAAAACAGTATTACTATTCACCCAGTCTGAAAAAACAAACAAACAAACAAAAAACAGGAAATCTTGGAGTTTGGTCCTCAGAATACCTTCATTTTGGAAAGAAACTTGAAAACAAGCAATTCTGAGAACCCAGACATAATTTTTAAAGTTGCTAGATATACCACAAAAGATAATTATACATATTAAAGTCTACAGTGGGTGTTTTCAATCCTGTTAAGAATTCTCAATAAGATCCATGATAGGAACATTATTATGCAGTTATACAATGTTGTTTCCTGTACATCTCTCAAAAAGTGAACAGAAATTGTAGATGATTTACTCTGTGTAACTTTTACATTGTCCCCAGCTACACAGCCCAGTGGGTTAAGGCACAAAATGAATAGGTTACATGACTTTGCCCTGTTTGCCAACCACAACATTCACCCAGGCCCCAGACACCCAACCTAAAGGAGAACTGGGAGAGAGAGGTTGGAATGCTAAGCAGCTGATCTGCTGCTGCAAGGTCAGTTGAGAGCATATGGTGCTCTGGTGTTGGCGGGAGAGGAAGTATTATGCTAAAAAAGCCTCAGAGGTGAGAGGGAAAAAAAGGTACAAAGAAATGGAAATTGAAAATGAAGACTCAAAGTCGTGAAAAATAAAAGAAAAATATAAAGAAATAGACTTTTAGATGATGCTGCCATTACCTATATCATATAGGTTTGAACAAAGCAACGTTTCAGTTAAAAGTCTAGCTGCTTTAAGTACTTCTGTGTTTTATAAAGTACTGTTATACTTTACATTTTTTAACCTATGATTTTATAATGAACCATAAGTCAGCAATATAACATTTCATGACCTTTATTCTTATAAAATCATTTTAAGGCATCTAGGTAAGTACTATTAATAATATAGTACTATTATTTCTTTTAGAGTCTTCACTACCTGATTATTATTAATAATATGCCTTTCAAGATGTTTCTTTTTTTAGTTTACAGTATTAACTTTTAGTAAACAAAGCAAAAACTGACAAAGCCCAAAACCAATTCTCGTGGCCCAAAAAGATGTTTCTAATAGAAGATTTTGGTTAGAGCTGATCATTACAGACTCCGAGGAAATTTTGTTTTTCATTGAGGTGCAGGAGAGGTGGTGGGAAGAAGAGGTTCCCACTTTTTAAAAAATGTCCTTTCCCCTCACTTTTCTTATTTTTTGAAAAACAGGAAAGCAGTCATATTTCATAGAGGTTTGGGCCCATTAATTGGCTCTAGAATTATGACAGCTACTCAATTTTTGAGGGACATTTGTAAATCCTCTTATACCACTCATCATGGTATCTAGCATATGGTAGAGATTCAGTACATTTGTTAAATTCATAAATGAAAATGCACTTGACCCATTTAGAGCCTAGGTCTTTTCTCTAAACTTATCACGTGAGTCCTTTGGTGGATAATTATGTATCTGTGGTTCATAAGAAGTTTTTATGTAAATTAATTATATGTACTTTTTATGTCAATAAATTATATGTACTATGGTGCCCAGTTAACGCCTTAGATATTTATTTAGTACCAGCTACGCCCAAAGCAATGAGCTAGAAAGACAAAAAGACTACTGACATGTCTGATGCCCTCTGAGAGTTTATAAAAGCCCTGGAAAGGAGAGTGAGGGGGCTCAAAGGTTACATAATTAGATGATTATATGACAGAATTCTTGACTGAGAAAACAAAGGAAACTTTCCCTCTAAATCAACTTCTAGACCTCAGAAGGATGGGAGGGTGTGTGGAGTATGAGAGATGAGATATTACTTAATGGGTACAATGTACACTGAGTGATGATTACACTAACAGCCCAGACCACCACTATGCATTAGATCCATGTGAAAAAATGGCACCCGTACCTCCTAAATTTATACAAATAAAAAAGAATGCATAGACCTGTTTCTCCCCATTTTTTCTAGAAGTTTGCGCATCATATTCATGTAACAACTTCCCACTCTTAAACCTGCAAAAACACTGAAGTGCTTTCTACTCTGTCTTTCCACTGCCCACTGTCTGTTCCTTTTCAACCCCAAGAGGGAAAAGAAGACCCTACAATTAGAAATACATCAAAGTAATAGGCAAAGAGCAGGATTTTTATTCTGAGACATATTGTTTTGTGGCTGCCATGTTGAAACCTAGCAGTTAAATAGGATGCTTTAAGAGCTTTATTCCTGTATTTGAAAGCCTATTAGAGAATTAGAAAGGGGATGTTTCAAAATAAATTCCCATATTTCAAAGTTTTTAAAAAGCAGTTGCAGGGATTTCATTTTCAGATGAGGAATAAGCCTATCAGCTAAAATGAGTACTTAGTGAATACAAATCCTGCAACATAAGGCTTCAAGGGCATCACCCACCCCCTGAACTCTGAGATTGAGGTTCCCTACTTCAACCATTCCCCCCACCATTCCAAAGAGAAAGAATCATTTAAAATGCATCAAGGATAAGCAGTGAATCACCTTTTTAAAGGAGTATAGACTTTAGAAATAATTTTGTATTTGCTATTTGTAGATGGGAATCCAAACCAAAATCAATTGCTGTGCTCTGTACTGAGCATTGCTATGTTCTGTTGCTGCACTCTTGTCCCATTGGCTTTTACCTAGATTTTTGCTGAGATTTTTTTTTTTTCAGCTTCCTCACCAGGCTGATCTAGGCTTTTTCTCTGTGCCTTGGACTGGTAAAATAAGGGAGGGAGCATCCACCAGGGTCCCTTGCCAGTCTTGTGGACATCTACAGACATCAGAGGGAGGAAACCTCTTTCCTCACAAGAAAGGGCTATTCTAACCCCAGGGACTGTGGCCAATCACTTTCCACTTCTCCCTCTTTAAAAGCAAGGTCCTCAAATATTGACAATTCATGCTGTACTTATTCCGTTAACTCTGAAAGGAGTGAGGATCAGATGAGAAAGTCTTTTTTTTTTTTTTGGTTGGAGTCTCTCTCTGTTGCCCAGACTGGAGTGCAGTGTCATGCTCACGGCCACCACAGCCTCGACCTGCTGGGCTCAGGTGATCCTTCTGCTTCCAAGTAGCTGAAACTATAGGCATGAGCTACCACGCATGGCTAATTTTTTTGATTTATTATAGAGATGAGGTCTCACCATGTTGCCCAGGCTGGTCTTGAACCAGTAGCTCAGGCAATCCTCTCACCTCAGCCTCCCAAAGTGTTGGGATTATAGGCATGATTGAAGAGTGGCTGTCAGTGTTGTTGAGGAAGATGTTTCCATAGCAGGAAGATGGAGCCAAGAATTTTACTCGAATTCCTTTTAACTTCACCATGGATGATGGTGGTGTTATTTACATGCACTGCTGGTGCTTGGCATCTGTTTGTCATTTTTTCTGTTGGTTTGAGGGTGCTCTTCATGCACAATGTCTAATGGATAGCCAGAGGAAGTGCATTATGATGCAAAGTCACTCCTAAAAGCAGTTTTACTGAAATAAGGCAGTCATTTTCTTCAAAGGGGTTCTAACAATGCAATTCCACTCAAAAAGAAAACTTTTCAGCTCCATGAATAAGGATTCACCATCAGTCACCAAGTCTGATGTTTTCTTTGCTAAAGTGAAAAATATAAATACAAACTTGGGCCCATCATTCTCTATAAGTCTAAGACTCCTCCTTATTGTAAAACTTGAGATTGAGAGGAAGTCAATATTAACTATTTCCAACTTCTCAGGTTTGAGAAAACTAAGTCCTTTGAGGTTAGCTAATCACCCCAAAGTCAAGAACATAGAACCTAGTTATCAATCTCAGCTCTTTAACAATTGAGTTTCTCTTTCTCCACCCAGCACCCCACTAACCTGTGACTTTCTTTTGTGAAATATCCTTTATCCATCACTCAAAATAATTAAATGGAACAACTTCTTAGAATAAGTGATTAATAACAAGCCCAAGTAAAAGCTCTGAGTCATCAGACCCTGTAATATGAGTAAGGAAGAGGACAAAATCTGTCCTTTGGTGGCCCTATGTCAGCTCTCAGGATTTTTTGAAAACTTTAATCATGAAAGCAAGAGATTTGATAAAGTATTCATGCCTTTCATCAGCTGCAGTAGGTCTTGACAGTGTTAATGTGTTCAGCCTTCACATTTATTCCATCCATTTGAAATGCAGTGTACTTAAATTTCCAAACAAAATCATGATAACATGGACTCGTTGTCAGTTAATTTAAGAGTGCTAACAAGCATACAAATTACTAAGTCAACCTGGGAGGCTGGGTGTACGCATACATTCAGCAATATTAACATGCCCTTCCAGTAGTACACAGCCAGAAATACTGAGTGAGCTTGCAAAGGACTAGATTAGCCTTGGCCTTCTGGCATTCTGCCTTTCCCCCTGGGAAACAAAGAACATGCAGAGAACAATTGCAATACAAGGTGGAGAAATCAGTACCTCTTGATTTTTTTTTAAGTAGTTGGATAAAAAAGAATTATCCTGAAGGAGTAGGATAGAATTTTACCACAGAAAGGGATCAGTAGTTACTCCCTAATATTTTAATTTAAGAGTTGCTTCCAGGCAGATGCAAGTACTTCTAAAAAGGCATAGATGCAAGAAAAATAGTCTTTTGAGTTATAGTTACAAATAGAGCTATAGCTCACCATGATCCTTAGGATGAAGAATATGACCCACAGCAAAGTTAGTTGCAAAGGATTCTGCTTTGGAATTTTTCAACTGCTTTTTTTTGTTTGTTTCCCTAACAGGTAAAAAACGCAGCTGCCAATGTACTCAGGGAAACATGGCTAATTTACAAAAATACAAAGCTAGTAAAAAAGATAGATCATGCAAAAGTGAGAAAACATCAACGAAAATTCTTGCAAGCTATTCATCAGTAAGTACCATTTTTCATTTTCATCATGCTTTTGTATCCTTGGCTTTTGATTCTTACACTAGGTTCTTCTTTCATGAGGGAGAAAAAAAGAAAACATTGTCATGTTTGTTAACAGACGACATAATCTGGCAATTTAATCATTCCATAAATGAAATTCTGAGAAAAATTTCAGTTCCTTTTATGATTAAAAATTATTTATTACAGAATAGTCATTGATTAATTAAAATATCTTCCAGATTCTTTTTAGAATAGTTTCTATTAAAATTATATTTATTGATTTAACATATCTATTCATATAATTTGCTCTAGGATGTTTAGCTTGTGTCTACTGCAAACTCTTGAAAAAAATAACATTATATAACCTCTTTGGATGTTTTAAAACATGCCAAACATCTTTATATGAATGTAGTACATATAGTTGATTTAATATTTGAGTTTTAAATTAGTTTTTAATCAGAATTTTGGGAATTGTCTATATGCTACGTGTTCATTATAGATTTTATTGTTTGTATAGACCTTTCACTCTCTTCATTATTCTGATTTTATCCAGACCACCATTATTCAACTTGTTTAAGTCCTTCATACCATTTCATTGTTATATTATATAATTAGCATAGACTTTTAAAGTAAAATCTATACCTAGTAAGATGCAATGATAATTTGAAAGTGCAGGGTTTTTCTCTCCCAGGTTGGCAGCATTCCTACTGTAAGTATTATTCATGTGGGTATCAATTGTGATGCTATACAGACTTGCTCTAAACTTAGTGCCATTTCTGTATGGAGAAGAGCAGATAAGGTCACATTTGTGGCTCACAAAAGTGGCTTTCCTCATGAGACCTATCAGAGTAATAATAAAAAGGTGGGTAAATACTAGGTCCTTTGGCTATCCAGTGAGATCTGTCTTCTCAGAGCCAACTAGCAAGAAAGAGCAGAGGCTGAAATTTTAATTTGCATATCTAGGTAATTCATATGCATTTACCACTAACATTCTGTGGGAAATTACTAAACATTCAAATACCCTTTCACCTGTCTGTCCAACTGCCCTGCTTACACAGAAATCACTGAAAATATGGAAATTAAAACACAAGAACCCTGAGATTTACAGTAGAGGGAGGAGACTCTGCACCTGAGGTAGAGTAGCTGGCCCTCATAGCTGCTCTCAGCTACTTGCTCTTTTCCAGGCTGCTGTCAACACATTTTCCTAAGTGGGTGATAATACTTCCCCTTTAGCTGTGTGACTTGACTGGACACCTCTGTGCTTTTTCCCCCATTGTAGGGAAAAGACAAGGCTAGAATTTTAAGATAATTCTCTTAAAGTCAGGAGGAACATTCTATTCCACCTTGCTCACGGAAAGGCACTCACTCACAGTTAACCTTATAACCTGGAACCACCACCTGTAGGCACTTGCCTAAGCATCTTGGTTCCTCGAAGTTTAGACCTGAGAGAATAAGACCTCCCCCACACCCTACCACCACCCCCACCCTGTCCCTCCCCAGCAGAGATGCTGAGCTCTGGCCTCTGTGTTCTTCGGCCTGTCTTTCTGTCAAACAGGAAGACAGGAAGTGAGTCCCTCTTTCCCAAGGGACTCGCCTGGCACAACTCTCTTATTAGAGTGGTCTCCCCACACTAAAATCATACAGCATAGAAACCCCAACATTCATACAGAAAGTTCACAGGCTAGCGTACGGATAAATCTTTTTTGTACTTTTAATATTTTCATACTGACCTATATCATTTGAGTGTATTTAAAAAAACACCTTAGTGAGTATGGGAAGATATATGTGTCCAAAGATGGAAGGGAGTGAGATGACGTGGCAGTGAGCAAGTGTGGTCAGTTTATGTCACGTAGCCACACATTCCATTTCCTCCAGGATTGTTCTCGGGTTCCATTTTGTCAGTATAACCTAATAAATGTATACTTACATGTGATTTGCCTTGGATACATTTTCATATAACAAAAAATCAAAAAATTTCTCTGAGAGTATCTTGCTATGTGGTTCTATAGCCATGTGCAATGGGAGTATATATTATATCTTGTAATAGGACTCTAAAATTCTGAATATGTTCATGCTAAAGAACCTGAGGGAAAACTTAGGAGTGTTTACTATACATTTATTTCAACTCTGTTGTAGGCTTGAAAAATTTCGTACTAAAATGTTAGGAAGAAAATCTTTGGGAAAACTAAATTTAAAAACTGTCCCCAAGCAAGTAGCAAAGGCACCCATCCTACAAGGCGTTTTGACCCGATTAAGCGTGGGCACTAGGGAGTTACCGTGTGTGGGTTCCCTTAGCATGTCATGTTTGGATAGGGTGATGGAGGAAGCCACCTGTGATCCTTATGCTTCTGTCAGACATTTCTCATTGTTTCTTCTGTAGCAGTGTGTACCTCTAAAGTTAATCATCTTCCAGCAACTCCGCAATGTTCTGAATTGTTTTATAAGTTAGTCTTGGTGCTATTGGGTTTTCTTTGAGGTGGGAGGGACTTGTAAACTGAGTATGTTTGTTCATATGGGCTGGGTTTTGCTAGACCATTCTAATCATGCATCATTACTCTCATTTTAACATAGTGTCGGAAGTTGGGGAGTGAAGTTATGAGGAAAGCACACAGGGCTCGATTCCTCAGAGCAAGGCCTTCATTGCCCATTGTGCAGATCCAGTGAGACTCTCAGCCTTCTCTGTCAGCTTGGGTGCAATCGGACCTTACCATCTGAAGAAAAATTTTTAAATTCATTTCATAGCGTGTTCCTGGCCTCTCCGACTCTCTGATTTGTCCTGAGAGCTTTCTCAACAGTTCCCTTCCCTTCAGCTAGCCCCTACTGTCTCAACTCTTTCTCTTTTCCATACTTCATAGCCTCTCTACCTGGTACGTGACCTCTCTAATCTCTGATGGATGCTGAACTCTCCAGGCTTGTGCCCTCTTTTCAGTAATGTATCTGTCTTTTTAGATTGTCACTGGGTGCCAGCAGTATTCTCTTTCTCTAACTTTTAACCCTTTTTCTGATAGCAGCTTTAACTTTAAAATTTGTCATTTCTTTATCTCAACTATGGACCCACCAATCAACAGAAACTTGTCTCAGAGCCAAGAAATCCAATATATATAATGTATATATCAAAGAGCGTTGGACTATCTGTCTTTCCGAAAGCCAGGCTCCTGAATAGCCCCAATTTGGAAAAGATGAACTCCTTCCTTTCCAAAATTATAATGCCATTGCTTCCAATATTTTCCTTTTAACCATATCACATTCATACTAGGCAACCATGTTTCCTGTTGTTTACTTGAACATCAAGTATCAAGAGGCCAAAATGACCTATGCATGTTCTTCCTTCTGAACTCTAATTCAGGAGGAAGCTAAGTGCTTTCAGGTGGGAGAAGTATAGTAGCAATGAAGAAGGATGGTAATATAATTGAATAGTGTTTTTCTTTGATCAATATCTCAAAATCCTGAAGAACTATAACAAGATCTTCCAGCTAACGAATCGAGCCCCCTGTGCACAACTGAACACCACATTGTGTTATTTTGTTCCAGAATATTTTACAGTTTCTTTTCTTTTTGTTTTGTCTTTTTATTTCAACAAAATGAAAATAGAGCTCGGAAGTAAGTTGTGTGAGCCGCTCCTTTCAACATTTGCAGAATTTTCTACTGGCTGCATGCACCCAGCGGATCCTTTATTTGTGAATTTTAGTAGTCTGATTGCTGCTATGGAAATGTGATCCAAAATCATGATATTTTCCTGTGATAAGTGAAGTTCACAAGGAAGAAATCAACATATGTTTCTTATTCTTCTTTTCTGGGGGGGAAAAGTGTGACACACATCTGCATGTTACCTTTTATTCTGGCAGCTGCAGTTTGAGCAGGCTTTTTCTGTCAGCTCTCCTACATTACAGGCAGCATAAGAAACTAACAACAAGACAAGATGATTTACGTTCAGGAAGCTGAAGGAATTCCAATCAAACAGGGCTACTCTATGTCAGCTTTCCAGATTAGTATAAAATTAAATGGGCAAAATTCTACTGTCAGACATGGTATAGTCATCCAGGAGAAGGGAATTAGGCTCTATTGTTGATATGATGAAGTACTCACTTTTAGCTCAGGAATCACCACTGGTTTCTCCAACCTGACTTGCAGAATTCAGGACTTCCTCTGTACTCACTAGTTGCTAGAGCCATCTGGTCCGGATCCCAAACTTCAGACATTTCTGTACCACTTATACTATTACCTAGTTAAATTTGAAATTTTAAATTAAAAAAAAAAAAAAAAGCAGGTGCTGGGAGCTAGGAAATTAAAAGTAGGACCAGCCTGAGACATTTTTCTTGCAATGAAGAATTGGAAGAGAACTAACAAGAATACTAGTTTTTCCATCTGTGTTAGTATTGTGTAATGTCTTGCTTGAGAATCACTTAAAGTCATCTAGAACACCTTTGTTGGTATACATCCAGCACTTTAGAAGCGCTGTCCTAATTGAACATACTTCATTTCATACCTGAGGAAACTGGAGGTCAAATTAGAGCTTGTGAGCATGGAACCCACGCCTGACATTGCTACTTTCTCTAGTACACTTCTGTGTGATGACCCTCAGATACTTCAGGGTTTTTTGTTTGTTTATACTTGTTATTAAAAGGCACATATCAAGAATTGTAACCCTTGTAAGTGCTGAGAGAAATCTTTCTCAACAATACATTGGATTTAAATACATGCTTATAAATTTCTTTTAGACTAGACCATATTCCATCTCAATAATACCATAAAAAGGAGTCATTTAACTTAGTTCCAAGCATTCTAATAAACACATAGCTGCAATGACAAGATATAACCTTAAACTGTTTTAGATTGCTAAAGATCGTGTTGTAGGTAGGTGTCAGCTAAACTTACTGGCAGAAGGCGCTCCATCTTCACTGTAGAGCACATTTGGTAACATATTGGATATCCTAGTTTCAGAGCAAAATCACTCAGCATTATGAACATGTGCTACAAAAATCTCCCTGGCAGTAAAATCTTGCCCTGTGAGTTTTTATTCCTTCTATATAATTTCCTTTTATTTAAACTGAAAAATAATGGTGAGTACTCTCTACAGCATTACAACTATACTTTGTAAAAATAACTCATAATCAAAGTAAAATAGGATTAGCTTGGATTTAAAAAAAAAATTTTCATTAAGTGGATCAAAGGAACCTACTTCTTTTTTGGAGCAAGTCTTTAAATTGTTAGCTTAAATAACTTATAAACCACTTTTCTTCTATTGGAAAATCTTAATTTCTTGGTACATAGTAAGCACTGAATAAATATTTGTTGAAATAACACAGTAAATAAGTTGAGGGATAGTAAGAGTTCTCATGTATTAAGAGTTTTTTTTTTAAAGTGGCCTTTTAACTTAACCCAGGTACATACAAGGATATTTAAAAGTAGTTAAAAGTAGCCTTGCAAGTAGAACTTGCATCCACCAGATACTTTAATTATCCTCTGACTTTTATCTACACTGAAAATTAGGGGAATTTTCCCAAAGAAATGGTCTGGACTTCCTTCAAATTTAATGGCAGTTTAAGATAAAAGTCAAATGAAATACCATGAAGAATAAGAGAATTATGTGTTTTAAGTTATCTTGCTGCTGGTTGAATAAAAGTTTTTATTTTTGTTAATAAGAATCTCACTTATCACTGTGTTTTCATCAGGTTCAAATACCTAACCCAATCCATTTCAGACTAAACAGGGCTAATACCTGTATCTAGTCACGTAGGCATAGGAAGGTGCTCATTGCTCCAACATTGGTGAAATTCCAGTTGCTTTGCATATTTCTTCCTATGTCTATTTGTCATGATACTGGGCTTGAAGGAATGTTTTGGCTTTTACTCATATGGTTAAATCCTTATGAGCCTTTCTGAATTCAAGTTTACCTGATAAATAGTTGTCCTAAGGACATCTCATCTCTTGCTCTCTCTCCTTTCTTTTTTGCGGTGTTGGGGAAGCATGCTTCTCATTGTACCAGATACATAACCAATTTGGACTTACCCCAAATATTCAAGGCATTATCCATGCAGTTATTTGCTCTTGTCAATTTTGTGCATGCTCTTTGGAAGGCAGGTAGCCATAGAAAGAAGGGAAGCTTTCTGACTTCAGATTCTGTCTTTTAGATTAAGAAGTGTAAAAATGGAACAGAGGAAACTGAATGACCAAGCAAATACCTTGGTGGACCTGGCAAAGGTAAGCCTCAGGTGCTCTGCCCTTGGGGTTGCATTTGTTGAAATCAACCACTGCATAGTCACTAATAAGTACTGCTTCTGGAGAGGCCCACCCTATATCTAACAAATTAAGCCAACAAACCACCCTAAAATGAGGTCCAACTTAAGAGAATGTTTCTAAAACTCTTATTTGATATGCTTTTTCCTTTCATATGTATCATTCAACCCCCATTTTAGAAGCCTTCCTGAAAACTGTGACAGTTTAAGTACCATAAAAAACCTAAGTGGAATATGAGCCAATACTTTTGGGATTCTTGTTGGTATATATGTCTCTTCAAAATGAGAGCAGGACTGCACCTGAGGTGTGACTATGAGATTCAGGGATAAATAAGACTCATCAATTTTAAAAAATTATGCATTTTAAGCAAACTCAGAAGAACGTAAAGTTGAAGTAAAAATAAAAGATGCCAGAAATTACATCCTAAAATGCAAGATGTCTTTCCCAAGAAAGAAATCACATTTTTATGGGGGTTTTTTACCGTTTTATTATTTTAAAATTATACCACTTTTTAAAAAGTACATTAATGTTTCCAAATTTTTCTATCACTTTTATAAGATTTATAAATCTTATAAATTTAGTTGATTGATTTTTGGTTGTTCCTCCCCAAGTAAAATCCACTCTCAAACTATAAATACTATATTTGTCAACAATCAAAACATTGCATTTTCCTGAGTGAATTCTAAAGGAGGCATTTAGAACAGCATTTATGAAAGTGTTCAGCCTTTTAACAAAATGCTTTGAAAGAGGCAACTCTCATGGGAATCTATACAGACTGTTTCATATTTGATAAATCATCTTAGTCTTTACAAAAGCCTCAAGTATAGTTTAGAAAAATTACACATATTTTGCCTAGTCTTATCTAATTGTATTAATTTAAAAGCCTCAAGTATAGTTTAGAAAAATTACACATATTTTGCCTAGTCTTATCTAATTGTATTAATTTTAATGTATATCAGTGACAAATACTACATTAATATGTTGAAGATGATAAATGAAGTATTCAATGATATCCTAGGAGAGCATATAGCATGCATATAAAAAACTGGGCGGCTCGCATATAAAAAACTGGGCAGCTCACATATAAAAGGTAGGAAGGCATGCCAATTAACCGTTACAAATGTGTCTCTCACTTAGACACATCATAAGCAAAGATGGGGTAGGCTCTTTGCATCACTCCTAGGAATAATGATTTTAAAAACTGGGTATTTATGAACAAAAGAAAAAACCACTTTGAAATATAATGCAAGTATGTAATTTTACTTCAAGACTACAACTGTGAGGCTGTTTCTTTCCACTTATTTCTTTGGTGCCTTGCTTATTCTAATCGATCACAGGACAGTACATGCCATGAGGGTTCAATAATTTTTGAATGAATGGATACTATTCACATATTTTCAAGACTATGCAGTTTAAAGTTAATGCACTTTGTCTCTGTGGCCAAACTGAAACAAGGTGTGCCTGCATTCTGAATAACCCCCTTATTTAATCAGTTTACCTTCAAGAGGTTGTTAAGCAAAAGAAGAGCACATATGATGAAGGGAATTGAGGTAGAAGGAGGGAAGGCTCAAAGGGGTCTCAGACTTGGGAAAGGCTATGCTAAGCTCAGGTTAACATCCCTATCCTCCCCTTTTGACCGCTCTTCTCTCTGTCTTACATAAATCTCAGCTGATCAGCCCTTGGGACCTCTCTCCTTGTTTTTTGGCTACTTCAGGCATCAGAGTTATAGATACCCTGTGATCAAGATAATCAATTTCAAGGTTCACTTTTGTGTTTCAACCACTTAGCTCTGATTAAGCCACAGCCAACAAGGTGGATTGGTAACTTTAGTCTCTCCTTTAGTTTTTATTTTCTTAATGATTATCTATAAAAATGCCATTTGACCTAATGGAGAGAGGCCTATAACTTTGAACTTAGGACAATGAAATATATTTAGGAATTAATTGCTTTAAATTAAGAAATCACTTGATCAAACCAGTTAATCCTAAATCTCATTAATATTCTACCCTCAAAATTTCGGCTACATCCTAATACTGTCTGAACTTTTATTGTTCTTTAAATCTGCTTGCTCTTCAAAAATTACCCTTGCTATAATTAATATTGCATGTTGCAAAATGAACTTAATTTGCTAACTTTTGTAACAGCCTTTAAAATACATATATAAATATTGAATGGTAACATTTTGTTTGTCCTTACACCACCTAAAATCATTGGTCACACCACCAGTAGTACCTGCACCATGTTATTTGCAAGTGAACCGAATTAATGCCTAAGATCTTATTATTTCCAAATCCTGGCATTGAACAAATACACTGAATTCGTATGCAAGGTAAGCTGTTCAGTTAGTTGATACCCCTGTTATGTTGAATGTTACCAGCAGGAGACCAGCCCTAAAGCTCTGGGAGTTGATAGTTTTCTTCCAGGGCAAATGTAATTAAACCTTAGTTCTCCATTTTACATTCTTCTCAATCCTGTTTTCCAGACCCAGAATATCATGTATGACATGATTTCCGACTTAAATGAAAGGAGTGAAGACTTTGAGAAGAGGATTGTTACCCTGGAAACAAAATTAGAGACTTTGATTGGTAGTATCCATGCCCTCCCTGGGCTCATAAGCCAGACCATCAGACAACAGCAAAGAGATTTCATTGAGGCTCAGATGGAGAACTATGACAAGCATGTCATCTACAATGCTGAGCGGTCCCGGTCCTCGTCCAGGAGGCGGCGGTCCTCCTCCACAGCGCCACCAACTTCATCAGAGAGTAGCTAGAAGAGAATAAGTTAACCACAAAATAAGACTTTTTGCCATCATATGGTCAATATTTTAGCTTTTATTGTAAAGCCCCTATGGTTCTAATCAGCGTTATCCGGGTTCTGATGTCAGAATCCTGGGAACCTGAACACTAAGTTTTAGGCCAAAATGAGTGAAAACTCTTTTTTTTTCTTTCAGATGCACAGGGAATGCACCTATTATTGCTATATAGATTGTTCCTCCTGTAATTTCACTAACTTTTTATTCATGCACTTCAAACAAACTTTACTACTACATTATATGATATATAATAAAAAAAAGGTTAATTTCTGCACATACTCGTTTGGTCACTTGACATTTCTAAAGCTTTACTCCTCACATTAGTTTCAAGGTAAAATGACTGATTATCGTCTAATGCATGCTGATAATTTTGATATCTAAAAGTGTTGCTGCTGGGAAAAAAAAGACTTTCGATTCTTCATACCCTACTCCCTAGGAGTTTCCCTCACTATGAATTATTTGTGTCACAGTAATTTGACTCACCATAGCTTTACTATTCTTTTGAGTTTACAGTGCCTTATTTTTAAATACAGTTTGTTTTCAAAACATGGGAAGTCATGTTGTTATATCAGAACATATAAAACCAAAAAGCAGGAACACTCTCAAGAATTATTTTATTTGCAGTTTGCCAGCAAATTTACATGAGGAAGTCATTAGGGTACAACCCTGTCTGTGAACTGATACTGCAGAATCTTAGTTCTAAACCAATGATGTCACATCTTACCATGTATTCATTTATTATGAAGGTCCCAGGATTAACTCTAAATATTTGAGGTCTATATTCATAGATACTTTTTTATATGTTCACTATGCTGTTGTATGCAAACATGTATCTATGAATATAGACATGTTTGCATACAACAGCATAGTAAACATACACGAGCATAACTCCTAACACATCCCCTAGTGAATGGTATCCTCTTGGTCTGTATGTATATGGTACAAGTAAATCGCTTCTAGTAAATTTCAAATGTTTTAGCACACTTGTTTTCACAGACGCTTAAGGTCTGTTTGAGAGGGAAATGTGTAGTGATTGCTACAAACCCATCTCTCTCCAAATTTTCTCTAAGAATCCACTGGGTTTAGAAGAACCACATGTGAGGCGACAGGCACATGGAATTCCCTCACATGGTGCTATTCTCCAGAGCCTACAGGAATAGCTGAGTGTGGTGGTAGGAGTAATGCATCATAAAAGTAAGGCTTCATTTGCCCAGCTCTTAAAGCGACCTTCCTGCATCAGCCTAAACCTTAAAAGCATCCTTCATTTTCAGAAAAACCTGTTTTAGAAGCTTTTGCCCTCTTCTCCTTCATTTTATACCTTATGCGTTGGTTTCTACCTTATAATATTGCAAGTTGCTGGTATATTAAGTATTGTCTTCTTTAGCACAAACTAAAGTGATATATTTGACCCACTTTTATTGGATAAAGTATAGTTTATTGGATAAAGTAACTTTCATAACTATTCTCCATAATTGATTCAGAAATCAAATATTTCTTTTCAAGACCAAGGACATAAAAGTATGATTGCTTTAGATTGCACAAGAACCACTTACCATTGACTGTCTATCCAAAGTGTCTGAAACTGAAGCTCATTCACATAGCTCATATAAGTCTGTATTGGATGAGGACAAGGTCTGGAAAGTCTTTTGATAGTAAGTTAAAAGAAAAAGGAACACTGCTTATGTTAAATGAGCATCAAAATCCTGCTTCATTGGGATTTCTACTTCATGAATAAAATTAAAATTTCCTTTATTTTAGGTAACATACAATGTATATCATGGATTTAGTATCAACACTGGATGTTAGAAGGAGAGATTTTGAAAAAATGATTACTTTGTTCTTTTTATATATGTGTGTATATATATGTATATTTTATTTTAAAAATATAGGATACAAGTCAGGATTAGGTATGCAAGGGGACATCATACAGGTAAAGTTTGGGCCTCCCTTTGGTTCCCACTTCACCTGGTTTGAGATCAGGTACCCTTATTGATGTTATGTGCCCCCCCCCCCCACAAACCCTGGCACTATCCCGCCACTGCCAATCCCTTTCTTATGGTATTACGGTGAATGTTCAGGGTCCGCTTATGAGTGAGAACATGTGGTACTATGTTCATTGCTTCTGTGATAGATCACTGAGTATGATAGTGTCTAAATCCATCCAAGTTGCTGCGAAGTCCATATGTTTGTCCTTCTTTATGGCTACATAATATTCCATTGGGTATACCACATTTTTTAAATCCAGTCCAGTTTCAATGGGCAGCATGATTGGTTTCATGCTTTTGCTATTGTAAATAGTGTTGCAATAAACACGCATGTGCGGGTATCTTTTTGGTAGAATAATTTGAGTTCCTCCAGGTATACTCCCAATAGAGGGATTGCTGGGTCATACAGAAGGTCAATTTCTTGTTCTTTTAGAAATCATCCCACTGTTTTCCATAGAGGCTGAACTTGCATTCCCACCAGCAGTGTAGAATGTTCCCTTTTCTCCACATCTTTGCCAGCATATGTTGCTGTTTGTTTTATTAATCATGGCCATTCTTACTGGGGTTAGGTGGTATCATGATGTGGTTTTGATTTGCATTTCTCTGACGATTAATGAGGCTGAGCACCTTTTCATGTGTCTGTTGGCTGCCCATATATCTTCTTTTGAGAAGTGTTTACTCATGTATTTTGCCCACTTTTTAATGGGGCTGGTTTTTTTTCCTTTTGGCATGTTTAAGTTCCTTGTAGATCCTGGATATAGGCCTTTGTCAGATATATAGTCGGCAAATATTTTTTCCCATCCTGTAAGCTATCTCCCTGCTCTCTTTTGCTTTTGCTTTGCACATGTCTATCTTATCTCTTATGACATAGACATCTGGGGTTTTGATCAGGAATTGGTTGCCTACTCCAATTTCTGCAAGGGTGTCTCCTGCATCTTCTAAGAGTCTTATAGTTTGAGGTTTTATGTTTAGGTCTTTCATTTAGAGTTGATTTTTGTGTATGGTAATAGATAGGCTTCAATCTTCTGCATGTGGTCAACCAGTTTTCCCAGCACCATTTACTGAATAGATTACTTTGTTCTTACAAATCATGTAGTTAATTCTTTTTAAAAATTTTATTTGAGTCTTTCCACCTCAGTCTTCCAAGTAGCTGGAACTACAGGCATGCACCACCACACCTGACTTTTTTTTTTTTAATTGTAGAGATGAGGTCTTGCCATGTTGTCCAGGCTGGCCCTGACCCTTTGACTCAGGGAATCCTTCACCAACCACATCCCAAACTGCTGGTATTACAGGCATGAGCCACCACAACCAGCCTTACATAGTTAATTCTTGTATATTCAACTTCTGTTATTACTAAAAGGCAAAGCAGCAGATTGATTAAGTTTAGTTATCATCCTACTGACCAATGAGCACTATCATCCAAGAACACTAGAGGACTAGGAAAGAATAGCATACTGTTTCTCTTGTTGAAGAAGACAGAAGAGAAAGTTTTAATTTAGATTTTATTACCTTGTGTTTATTCTCTCCTTATTTATAGCTCATCTAGGATAAGCTATTCTGTTGCCCTTCAGATTTAATCTTTAATTTCTTGTTTCCCTATGCAATATATGAAGACTGGTAAAGGTATCTCTTGTGTCTGGATTTTTTTTATATGCCAAATAACCACAATTTGAAAGAGAAGGAGGAACCCATTACATAGCTATCCTGGTCAATGATTTGTTGAATAAACTCCACTTTAGGCAGTGACTGAGTATTCTCCGAAGTGGCTTGGAACATTAAGCAGAATCCTCTGAGGGCTGCTTAGATGACTGCTCTTTTGTAGCGATACATGCTTTTCTCTTATTTGCACTTTGTTTTCAATTTTTTTTAAAGTATTTTATTATAGAGATGTGGGGTACAATTAAAGATTAAAACACAAGTAGGGTGCATGCAGGGGAAGTTTGGGCCTCCAACTGTCCCTTGCTTCCCCTGGCTTGGGACCCAGCTACCCTTTGTGTTATGTGCCTTCTGCCTCCTCCCCCGCCCCCCCGGCAGTGCCTAGGGACTGCCGATCCCTCCCTTGTGCTAATGTGATTAATGTTTAGATCCCACTTATGAGGGAGAACATGCAGTATTCAGTGATTTCTGTGATAGATCACTAAGTATGATGGTCTCCAACTCCATGCAATTTGCTACAAAGACCATGATTTTGCTTCTCTTTATGGTTAGGTAATACTCCATGTATATATGTACTCATATATTCTTTGTTTTTGTTTTTTTTTTGAGTTGGAGTCTCACTCTGTCACCCAGACTGGAGTGCAGTGGCCGCTCCCGGCCACCGCAGCCTCGACCTGCTGGGCTCC